ACATAACCCCACCTGCTCTTTTATTATTATAATTATCTTACAAACTTGCATTTATCAGCTGTCATCAATTGTTATTAACATTTTCAACCTTAATTTTCTTATTCAAATAGTAAAGTTTCAATCTTTTTTCAATTCTTGACATCTTCTTTACTTAGGTGGGACCAGTAAGTACTCTTTCATTAAGAGTCGCGTTTGTTAGATAATGATTTTGCATTTAGTCCGACTTCAATGAGGATATCGGACACTCGGAAACCAAAAAAAGAAGCAAGTTATATTCCTTATGAGTTGTCTAACATTTTTGTCACTATTTTTTGTGTGTTGCAGGAAAGTTGATGGAAGTAGTATGTGGTACAATGGGGTCATTTGCTTTTGCTAGTTGTCATTAAAATTTGTATACTTGAGGAAATTGTGAAGATAAAAAAATGAAAAAAAAGCATGGTGAGTGTCTCAAAATATATGTATAATTAGAATAAATAAATAAATAATTGGGACCTTAAATAAATAAAAAGCTTACTTCTTTTTCTTTTTTTTTGAATAAATTTCAGTTATTAGGAGGGCTTTATGATAAAACATAAAATGGGCAAGGAAGGACAAAAATTGCTTGGAATTGAAGTAGAAAAAAGAAAAAAAGAAGCAAAAGAAGGGAGAAAATATCTTTTGTTTTATTTTGTTATAAATACTGTAATTACCTATCAATTTTTTCATTTGTATTTAAGTTTGGTTTTTTTTTTCTGCCGACAGTGTTTGTATCCAAGAAAAAAAAATGTACCCCAAAAAGGAAAAAAAAGAATAATTCTGCAAGAGCATATCAACTTTTTTGTACTCACATTTGTCACGGATGGTTTGTTTATTTTTTTCACTTTTTTTTTAAAATACCATATAATAGTATATAGCTTGTGAATTAACTATACTTTTTAACATTTCTTTTAATATAATTATATGATATAATATAATGAATGTGATTTGTTTTTATTAAGTGTGGGGTTCTAAACTTCACTTGCCTTTCTTAAAGGTAATGTGTATGTAGAGAGATATCTTTTAAAAAGGTTTTGAAGTCATATATACACGCTTTTAATGGTTGAGTCAGAAATTTTATTAAAGAGTTGTCTTGATATATATATATAAAAAAAAAGAAAATGAAGTTAGTGATTCGATAGGTTAAATTGTTATACGGGGATGTAAATTGTTATATAATATTACATACGATGCACGTGTCTACTTGATATCAAGATAATTTTGGCACTTTTGATACCATAGCTTGTGAATTAATTATATTTTAACAATTTTTTTTTGCTTTTGTGTTTAAGTGTGTGTGGGGGTTCTACACTTCACTTGCCTTTCTTAAAGCAAAATTGAAGAGAAAGATATATTATCTTTAAAATAAGGATCCTTTTAAGTGATTGTGTTGAGTGGAAAACACTTATTCGATTGTTTGAACAAGTAAATGAATGTAAAAAGTATCACCAATAGAGCGGTAAATATCTTTTTTATATATAGTTTACCAAAAAACAAAGTATTTTTTTATATATATAATTAAAATTTTTGAATCAAGCTCTCTGTATAAAGTGAGAAATTTTTCGACGTGAATCTGAATTAGTTGGTTTAAAAAAACAAAAAGAAAGGAGGGCGATGGTGTAGTACTAAATAACACCAATTGTAATGTGATATATTGTCAAAAAAAGGAAATTGTGTATTATTAAAATTAGTATATAGTACAACTTTATTTTTATTTATAAAGAAAGAGGGAGGAAAGAGAACAATGTCAATAATTGGAATATAATTTATAGTAATAAGACTAAAAAACAAATAGCCGGTTTTTGTTTGTTGGGAAATCCATTTTAATTAATTTTATATATGTCTTTTAACGGTGATTAGGTTAATGATTATTCACTTTAAAGGGAAAAGGGAAATTGAGTTGGCCTTCATATGAAATTATTTTATTGTATAAAAACAAGGATTTTGACTTATATATGTATTGATAGTGTTGGGAACAAAGGGGTAGTTCGATAATAGTAAATGAATATTCACATGTTATTCATCGATTGCGTTTTTTAATTTAATTTTATTTATACAGATCGCTTAGCCTCGTTCATCTTTGGATCAGATGATGAGTACCTTAATGTAGAGGGTTCAAACCCTATAATAATAATAATGTGTATATCATTTCTATCATCCTTTCCTACTTATTTTAAAAATGTTTTACACTATCAATATAATTATTTTTAAAACGAAAGACGCTTAAGTATGTTGTTGAAATTTGAAAAAAAGGGTTCATCTATGTCATCCGCCAAAAGTTTGGCTCATTAATGATATTTTCTCTTATAAAAAGCTACATTCATGTCATTATTTGTAAATTAAAAATATTTTCGATTTTATTAAACCGTTTTGTACACGTGGTCATATGATTCAACCACGTCATTAACAATTTTTTTTTAGAAAAATGGAAAAGGTTCAAATATCACATCAAACTTTGAGAAAAGTCTTAACTATTTCAGTTAATAAATAGTGGCTCAAATATACCATCAAAATGAGTTTTTTCTCAGATAAAAATGAAATAAATGAAACTTTTTTCAAGGTTCGATTGCATATTTGACTCTTTTGCCCTTTTTAAAGTTACCAAATTAAGCCTACCATGAACAATTAATTACATGTTGCAAGTTATTGATCTGATTTATAATTTTAAATTAATTTAAGTGATGTGGGGACTAACGGGCAATTGAACACTAAACATTGACTTTACTTAATTTTAATGTTTAATTAGATTAATCAAGAAGATTAGGAGGAGAATTGTTAAACTGAACATTTTATCATTTCATGTGCTTTGGAAAGTTCTACGGATCTTAGAGCAGCAAAATATTAATTTATTTTGAATGAATCACACACATATATGGAGAAACACTTTTCTGATCACAAATTATTTATCGTAATTTTTCAAATAATTATCTCAAATTATTTGTTGTTTCAGAAGTTTAAGTGAAAAGGATTTTTTTATTCGTCGAACTCTTACACCTTGTTTGGATGATTATTATTTGATGTATCGTATTGTATTGTTAGTTTAAATGTAATATCTGTTTTGATTGTTACTTAAATTCTATTGTATCGCATCATTTATATTCATCGTTAGGTAACGAATAAAGATCTCATTTTATGTAATGATCGATTTGGTGTGATCATGTTATTACTTTAATATTTTCTTCTCGTTTCGTCTTTATTTATTACTCCCTCTGTTCACTTTTAATTGTCATGTTACGCTTTTGGAAAGTCAATTTGATTAATTTTTAAAGTTAAGTTAAATTATATTAATTTGATATTTTAATTTTTTTTTTAAAATTAGATATTCAAAAACTATACGAAAGGTACCATACGTTGCAAGTTTTTGCATATCAATATGAAGAAAAATATATCGTAAAATGTTGGTCAAAGTTCTTATTGTGTGCTCTAGAAAAGGAAAATATGACAATCAAAAGTGGATGGGAAGAGTAATAAATAAAGACAAAACGAGAAGAAAATATTAAGATAATAACATAATCACACCAAATTGGTCATTACATAAAATGAAGTTTTTCATCGTTACCTAACGATAAATTTAAATTATACGATATAATAAAATTTAAGTAACAGTCATATTTTCTCTTTTATCCTTCCTTTTTATAGTAAGCTCTACCCCGCATCCTACTTTTCTTGTAGGTTTATCATTTAAATTATAAATGTGTAACATTTCGTAACGATGAAGAATGATACAATCTATATAAACATAATATTCATTAAAATAATATAATACGATAAAATATAACACAACATAATATAAAACGATAATAAAATGTTAGTAATTATCGTTCTTAAAAACTACAAATACCTCAATTATGGGTATTGATGTTATGATTGTTCAAGAAAATCACTACAGGAATATATAATTTTAGCAACTTACATATTATATTAAAAAGGGAAAAAAGAATAAAAGAATCTTACTTTGCTCTAATTAATATAATAAATTCTAAAAAATTGAAAATTGAGTAGCATTTTGATTGAAATTATGGTAACAAAATATTCGTTTTAGTAAATATGATTTATCTCCTTTATGGACCCATATATCCTGGAAAGGCCTTTAATTATGTCTACCACTTTAATCTAATTCAACAAAAATATATTTAGGTTGAATATATCTCGAATATATACGATTCAAATCAGGTTTAATTTATTCCAGATATATTATATACAAGTCTGATTAGTATGTATGTATGAATTGTGATACATGACTCTCTTGCTTGAGTTTCTCTCCCCGCTCTCTCCATATCTACATTCAGAATGTATCTGAGTTTCCCGATTATGTATCTCTGAGAATATATGTATATGGCCACTTCCTATATGTCAATTTGATAATTTGAAGAGGTGAAATCATAATTTAAGCGGTGTTATGTTATTAAGTAAGGCGTTTCTGTTTAAGCTCGAGTAGAAATGAGTTTTTACTATCTTTACTGTTTATATCGCTCTATTTAAGCTCAATTTTATTTTATATAATATGAAATAAGTTGGGCCCGGTATATTCAGAGTTTCATCATGTCATATCTTTACAGGTACTTAGTCTCTATCACTAGCCAGCAAGCAGCCCCTACTAACCCTTACCGTATACAGAGTTGGATTCAGGATTTCAAATAAATTTGACGGTTAAGATTCTTAGAATTGAATTCATTGTATGGGCTCAGGACTAAGGCTCCATTGATCACTATTCGTGTTTGGTGATTTTCGGGTAAAAAATTATACTGTATATGAAATGTCAAAATTTTAGAAGAAAGATTGCCTGGTGCAAACTCATATTTACTGCAGAATCACATTTTCAGAAGAATAATCCAGACATAACATGGTGATCCAACCATTCTAACAAAAGAAGCAATGACGGAGTAAGAATTTTCATTAAGAGCGTTCAATATAGAGAAGTAAACACACGAAGAAGCCAATGAGATTCAACATTTGCTATATATAAATAATGTGGCTCCGCGCTGTGTGGAAGTAGGTATATGAACTCAGCAAAACCAGAATACAAGTTCAGAATGATACATTTGAAGAAAATCAGAATGTTGAATCTGACTTGAGAACAATGAAGATGTTTTTCGAGAATGATTACACGATGGTACTGAGATGTTCGAAAAGAATGAAGAAACTGAGAATAACCAACATGTACAACTTGTAACATAACAGCAACATACACAACATATTCACAACTCAACAAAGCAGCAAAAACGCTTTCACAGAACGAAAAAAGGCCTATAAATAATAAATACAGAAAAAAAGACAAGTTCAGTAAGTTCATTAACCTTCAACGCTGACTTCAGCTTGCACAACGATTGGATTTGATGGACGTGCCACATTGTCTTCTACACGATTCATTTCAGACTCAGGTTGGATTTCATTTCGTTCTGTTTTCTCATCCGAAACCTTTGCTGCTTCAGCAAGTCTGGATTTCGTTTCAGCAGGTTTCGCTTTAGTGATCGAGGTTTTTGGAGATTGAGCTGTTGTCTGTGAAGTCTTAACTGGCTTCCCTTTTGATGCAACGTTATCTTTATTGGATACGAGTGACTTACGTTGTTCCTTGATCACTTTTGGACTGAAACATGATCCTCCACTTTCGGAGCTATTAGTCATGGATGTGGAGTTCTTAGTTCTTCCAAGCTTAGGAGATATGGCGCGTGTTGTTGGTATCTGCACATTTTAGCAAAAACTTAAGCATATAACGCGAAAATACCGAGTGAATGATTCACACAAATTAGAGCTAACAAGAAAGGGAACATGAATTGCATAAGACGGTAGTGTCCTAAGAACGAACAAGGGTATCAATTGAATGCTACCAAGGGATGAAAACCAAAACAACAGAAGCTAATTTAGTAACACGAAATATCTTTGCAGCCTTCTTTTGCGAGATTCATTTAAGCACCTTGATAAGATAATAGCAGAGTTGCCTCTTTTTTCTCTAGCACTACAGTACGGACTACGGACTTCCTAAAAAAGGAAGTTAAGTGCGAGTTTTGTCACATTAGGGAAACACGGTTACACGCAATGCTATAAGAGCTAAAATATATCTCATGAAGCACCAAAATCAAACTTTACCTTCTTCAGTTCAACTGTAGGAGGGGGCTCCTTGTAGAAGCAAGGCATCGGTGTAGCTTTAAATGTCAAGCTCTTCCTAAACTGCTTTACCTCTGCCTCTTGGTTTTCCTGAAAAAATCCCGAAACCACAAATAAAAGGACTTAGCTTAGGATAGTCCTTACAAACTATGTCGTTCAAACTGTTCAAAAATATCGATAGGTGCGACAACGTTTATGGAGAGTCCAAGCAACATAGCTTACAAAACAGCAATGAGAAATCGGTATTGTTTGAACTAACCTTTGATTTTGCTAGCAAGTTACTCTTTTCCTCTTCTCGGGCCTGTATCCTCTCTTCCACCTTTGCCAAGAACTGATGAATAGGGAAACTGAGCTGTAATCTTTTGCACTATGCTATAACGTACACGATGGTCATAGTACCAAAGGTTAGAGTACAAACCTCCTTTCGCTTTTCAGCACGTTCTTCCAATCTGAAGGAAAATCCAGCACTGGTACGAGTTGCATTGCTGATTATAAAAATAAAAGAAGTTATAACATTTGACTAATCGCGGACCATGATGAAACCCGACCAATGGAAACAAAAAAGTGACATAAGTCAATAACTCAGGCATAGGATAAGAGCAGTACGAGGAAGTAGCAGAACGAGCATCATCATCGTCTTTAAGAGGTGACGTAGCTTTAGTAGGTGTAATCTTTTCATCGTTTAATCTGCAAACACAAACATTTAGCATACCTCTATCAAAACAATTATCGGCCACGAAACATAATGCAGTAAGTTCGAAATTTAGAAATCCAATTTTATGAACAAATGCAAGTAGCAAATTCGCTTACTGTTCAGAAGTCGCTTTCTTTGCAATTCTACCGGCTGAAGCAGACTTCCCGGACTTAATGCAGAAACAGCAAGGGAAATTTGTGAGATATTGCATCCTAGAACTCAAAGAAGGGAAAGGTAAAAGATCACGAGTGACTAAGTTTACCAGCGATTGACGAAGGCTCGGGATAGATCCTGTAGTTGTCCTTCTGCTTGTTGTAGCACTTCCATTTGGACTTGAACTCTTCACAACTCCAGCAGATGTACTCTTAGTAGACGGATTTAAACGAGAAGCTGACGAGACTGTTCCATTCGAATGTGAAGCCTCATGTGTCACCCCATTTGGTATCCAAGGTTTAAAATCCGATTTCTTTGTACAAGCATCAATGCTCTTCCTTGTCATGTCTGCATTGGCGCCTCTTGTAGGGAATGAAAGACTTTTCGCCATACTTCCCTTTTTCGAACGAGTCAATGAAGACGTGCCTGTTGAATTTGCTTGATCCTTGGCCATTTTGTTGTTCTTTTTAGTACCACCAACTGATACCTTATGTTGATTCGATGCTCTACTTTTCGGAACATCCTCAACAGACAATTCTTCTTTGGCTACAGATGAATTTGGCGTCTCATCCGCCTTCTCACTAATGTTCTTTAAATTCACATTTTCTTCCTCAGCCACAACAATCTTTTCCACCTCTACTGGAACTCCATTTTCAGACTCCATATACCAACAATATCTAAAACCAAAACAATAGATAAATACTCATCAATCAACAATTTGGAAGCTATATTGCTCGGACTCTCCAAAATTGCTGCTTATAAAGGATCCGACACACAACTGTCAACGTTTTTGAAAAATTCGAGCAACATAAGGTCAGAAGACAAATCATACAAGCCTAAAATCCAATTATAAAAGAAAACTTCACAATTGAAGTCACTTTCTTTCAACAAAAATCAAATCTTTAAAGACACAACAAAAAAACATAAATGAAGGGAAAGAGAAAGAACCCCAAAATTCAATTTTCAAATTCCAACAACAACAACATACCCAACATAATCTCACAAGTGGGCGCTAAGACGATTAGGACGTAGAAAGACTGTTTCTGACAGACCCCCCGAATCAAAAGAAGCCTCAAATTCCAAAACCAACAATTGAATTTTCAGTTCTTGATCTAAATCAAACAGAATTTCAGACAGTAAGACCATATACACTACTGCTTCATGATATAATTCATACTAAACAAATACCATATAAGTAAGTAAACAACATCCTACTTCACAAGCGTCGGATCCAAGATTTAAACTTTACGAGTTCAAGATTCTAATTTAGTTATCGGATCCAAGATTTGAACTTTATGACTTGAAAATTCTAATTTAGTTATAACAAAATATACAGAGTTTGAACCAAAGTTACTAATATGAAAAAAAAACTATAACTAATGCACTATGTCCACCTCTTGCAACTTCATGTTAACACAATCAAAAGATTCAAAACCAACCCCTTTCAAATTAGAAAAAAAAACATAAGATCCAACACACTTCAATACGAAAAAATTAATAAAAATTGAAATATTACTATACTAGGTACTATTTTGAAAATCTAACATGGCATGATATTTCAAGAAAATGAAAAGGGTACCTTTTTTTTTTTTTTTCTTGTCTTGGAGATGATTGGTGGCAAATTATGTGAATTCAAAATGATAATACAATGGAATGACAAAAACTGTGTTAGAAATACTGGAAACAGAGAGGAGAGAGAGAGGGGATGAAATTATAGATTTCACTCTACTTGTAAAAAATAGTAAATGACCAAAATGCCCTCCTTCCACTTTATTTTTTAATCATTTCATCCATATTCGTTCGTCTATTTGACTGAACACAAAATTTTAAAATATTTTTTTTCTTGAATTTAATCATTATTAATATAAAATTACAATAAAATTAGATAAATTTTAAATTCTGAATCTCCGTCTAGACAGTGAAAGAGTATTTTTATATGTAAGTTTTATTATTTCCATAAATGGATTATATATTGCTGTAAATTTCAATAATTTTGTTACAAAAGATATATAGCATGTGGAGAACACGTCGTTTGGTGATAATTTACAAGTTTTTGATATTTTAATATAATGAACATCAACAACTTTAAAATAACAAAAAAAAAGAATTATTTGCTAGATGAATATTCTTTGGTTGTTGGCTAATTCTATCATTTTGTTCATTTGTTAGACATGGTCAATGGCCAATTGGGTCATTCCAATTATTTTGTATTAACTACCTAGTTAAAATTTAAAAGTAAATGAAACGATTCGCACCACTAAAAACAGTCAGATATACTAAAGTTTACTGTAAGCATCGAGAAAAAGGTTATACTATAAGAGTTTGTTGATATGTAATATTACTTTGCTTTATTATAAACGATTATTTTCACCATTTGAATTCGTAACTTTTTGGTAGATTACATGACAAGAACTTTATAGAAAGTAATTAAATGATCTTCGTGATTGTTATTTATTTATTGCTAATCTAATAACATGCATTGAACAAGCAAGATTAATTTTGATTAACTTTATTTATTTATTTATTTTTTGATAGTTGCATAATTGCATTAGAAAATTTCCATAAAAAAACAAAAAAATTAAAGCCTGTCAAAGACAAACTTATCTGCTAAAAATTAAGAAAATGCATTTTTGTTTTTTGTTTGGCACAAATTGATCAAAAATGTTGTACCATTTACATTATTGAAATCAATAATTTGTTTTCTTGGTATTTCATAATACTCAATTAAAATAATATGACAAATTTGGACCAGATTCATAAGTTAATGGCCCATATTTATTTTCTTTGGATTTTTTCTTATATACAATGAAACATTTTTATCAATTTAAACAGTCTTAATTGTTAATATTGTATACAAGGTATTAGGTCGTTTCATTAGTTGGATTGTGTAATTAATTAGTTGTTTTAGTAATAACTTTTAAGATGTATTTGATGTCTTTTTCCTATAAAATTGAAACTTTATAAAATATTATTTTAATATGCATGCCAACCTCATTACATGTTTGGCACATCTTTCATGATCTTTTGGTTACTCTTTTTTAATTCTTAATCAGATGTTTCGATATTTATCCGTCCAATATTAAGACTTTGTGATAATATATATTTTAAAAAATTAATCGAAAGATAATTTAAAAAGTATTTTAATTTTGACTCGAATTATTATTACGATATCAAATTTTATGAAGAACCTTTTACTCACTTTTAAAAGTCAATTTTAAAGGTATATATGTGTCAACGTGGACACATTGCTATTTAAAATGATACAATATTTATGATGTCCACGTGGACATATATATACCCTTAGAAATACACTATTAAATAGTGCAGAGGCGTAAAAGGTCCTCATAAAGTTCGATATCGTAACAAAAAATTTGAATATATTTCAGACATTCTTTTAAAAAATAACGCATTTCTTTTTATAAGAAAGAGGAGAATAGTAATAACATTATATTCATAAGTAAAATTTGAAAAGGATAATATAAGTTAATAATCCTAAATAGATATTGATTATTATTTTCGATTAATCATCGACTCGAGATTAAAAAAAAAATTGGAGGAGGGTATTTATGTCAAAAGAAGTAAAAATCCAAATAATTGTAAAAGTGGAAAAAAACCTGGGGAAAGGGACTGTAGTAGAACGTGGGGAGTTCCATGTATTATGAAACATTACGACAAGTGGCTGTCGCAGACGTGGCATGACACACCAACGTGCCTGGGTCCCACACATAATTTAAAGGAAAAAAGACAAAAATACCCTCAAATTATCGTACATGGTATATGTAGATAACATTCGTCATATTTTTGAGATGTTGATGCTCATACAATCTAAAAACTTGAGCGTATATGTCATTCACTCTACAAAAGACTAAGTACGGACATGTCAGACAATCTTATCAGTCGATCCGATATTTAATAAATGTCGGATCTGCAGATAAGATTATGATATGTGTGTCTGTTAGTATAAAAAGTATATATGCTCTAGTTTTAGACGGCCGGAGCACTAACAAGGGCAGAGCCACATTATATAAAGGGGTTTGTTCGAACTCCCTTCAGCGAAAATTATATTATCTATACATGGTTAAAATAATTTATATATATATATATATATATATATATATAGTAGATGTAGCTATTCCTTCAGCTACTTCGTGTGTCTATTCTACAAATTTTGAACCCTTTAATTGAAAAACTTAATTCCGCCACTAGTCACTAATATTCTAAAAATATGATAGACATATTTAGATAACATTTATAATAATTTAGAGATATATTTGTCCTCTTTCCCTAAATTTAATAGAACATTTATGAAAGTAAAAATTAACAGTCATTGTGTTTTTGCTATCAATGTTAAGAGTTTAGTTATTTAACAAAAATAAATATGAGATGATATTTTTGTTATTGAATCCAAAATACAACAACAAATAATACTTTAGTTCAGTAGAGTTTAAGTGATTTGATAAAATCGTGAATAGAAGAAATTAATTTATAATTCGAAATAAATGTATATATAAGTTATACATTTAATTATTTTTGAAAGTTTATTTATATATATAAAGATAATAATATATGATTTTTCGATGAATATAATTTAATTAAACATCCACACCTCGATAGAGTATTAAATATCAAATTGAACTGCATCCACATATGATAATATCTCTTAATTATGACAAGACTTTCCAAATGACAACTAAGAATATTGATTTCGAATTGGTATTTTACCTAATATTGATTTCCCAAGTCTTTTTCTTGTAATTATTTTTTTTCTTTCTCACCAGAAATGAAAGCTCCTACTTACAAAAAAATAATTCCAAAATTAAGAGATAATAATCAAAACACGTCTAAACTATCATTTTTTTGCGAATTACTATCTTAACTATTGGTTGTTTATTTTTTTCTTTCTGGACTATCACCATTCAATTTCAAAACGTGAAACTTGCAAAAAGTAATAATTCATGAATTATTTTTTTATTATTATCTCAAATTATTTAGGATAATGACTCTTGAATTAATTTAGATGGACCCAACTTTATCTTCATAATCTCTCTTAATTTATAACCCCACTGGGATGTGCATTATCTCCTCAATTAGTTTAATTTGTAGTATTATTTTTTTTGGTACAACTCAAAATTATGTAACTTTAGTGTTTATATAGGATTTATTATAGGGGCCAATGCTTATTTAATTGAAAAACATGTTTATTATCTAATATAATGTAATACTATTTCAATCGTTTTAATTAGTTTAAATATCAAACTCACAAACCCCATATGGGGTAGTTGAAGTTGAATCATGGGATAATCAAATTAGTTTAACGATAATGAAACAAAATTTTCATTTTATTAATTAGTGAAAACACCAACCAATAAGTATTAGGACCGAAAATAAGCAGGTGTAAACGCGGAAGCTAGCAAAACAAACCTCGAAAGATCACGAGTAAGAAGACAACGAGAAATATATCAAAAGACACAAAGATTTAACGTGGTTCGGACAATCGAAGAAAATACTGTTAGCCTTCCTTAGTAGGGATAAGTAAGAAAAATCAAGAAAATACTAGAAACTATGGTTCGTGCTAGTGGTAGAAGACCTCCATTATCAAAAGTAAATCGAAGATCCAAACACAGTATCAAGGATAAGTGAGAATACTGTTGATCTTTCTGGATAAGGTTACGAAAAAAAAAGATTGTGAACACACACTATGTGCTTAATAGAGAAACAAATAAACCCCATCTTAACCTCAAAATCACCATGAAACAGTAAGTTATTATGACTAATTTGTCTCCATCATATTAAAATAACCTGTGCTTCATAATTAATCTCCTAGTAAAACACACTTCATAATACACACAACAAACCTACACAATGTGTGGTAAGTTAATTTACCAAGAAAGAGTAAAAGGAGAACTGTGAACAAGCATTACCTTATTTTTCTTGAGATATTTTACAAAGGAGTGCATCCTATTTTTCTAGAATATATATTAAACTGATAAGCTAATTATACAACTTGGGAGTTAAAAAAATTAATAAGAGCTGGCATTTTCTCTGTGTTTTGACTCTACTATACACTTCTGTACATTTCAAAATCATGGTGTGACAGCAAAAAATCATGGGAGGTTGATGAAGAAGAGAAACTAAAAACAGAAAATGGCAATAAGCAACAAGGTACAAATATCTTTCTACGTCAGCAAGCCTTTGTTGCATCTCGAAATCCAATGCTGAAATTATTGGGCAAGCGTCTGTTACCAAAATTTGCATTTCCTTTTTGCATCATCGCCACAAACTCCTTGTAATCTATCCGTCCATCCTGAGAATATATGAACAGATACTTGAACAATATGCAGTATGTAAGAAAGAAAGAAAAATGAACGTTCTAAAAAGACACGGTTAATTTGTTCTATACGATACCAATAACAATAACATATCTAGTGAGTCACACAAGGTGGAGTCTGGGGAGAGTAAAGTGTACACAGACCTTAACCTTACCTTATGAAGTTAGAGAAGTTGTTTTAGAAAGAT